TGTATCAATAGTTTATTTCAGTATGATACTTTTTGAAACATTCTAGAATATGTAAAGCTATCAAACAAAAGTTCACATTCCCAAATAGTTTCACTCCTCGTTTTGTGTTTTTTTCTTTTTGTAATTTTCACTATTTAGTATTTGTGCTGCATATTTATTTGTTTCGACAGCTATCGCGTGCCAACAATCATCCGCCAATATTAGATCGAATAAATGTATCACAGTGGGATTATCTCGTAATTTCTCCAAAAATAAAGGGTTTATACTTGGTGTTCCTGGTGGAGGATAAAACTTTTTGGATTATTATCTTTGTTTTTATTGCATCCTCGTTACTAGAATCTTCGGATATTAGAATCCTCGGTTATTAGAAACTTCTGTTTTTGGAAAAAAGATCTGTTCGTCGCTACACACTTTTCGAAATTATTTTTACGTTTGCCCACGCTTGAATTGCAAACGAAATTATTTCGTAATTAATTACCGATCGTGGTTGCTGCTGTCATGTGCTTTTCAAATAAACATAATAATACCAAATAGTTTATTATTTACCTAGAATTGAATTATGCAGAATCACATCGTGTTTATCTACGAAAAAACCCTCGAACTCTTTTTATTCTTTTCCATTTGCTACTTCTTCAAATTTCTCAAACAACAGATCGTTACAAGACTATAATAATAATTTGAAGCTTTCTAATTTTCTAATCTTTTCGTCTCCGTTTTAAACGTCGGTAAATTTTCGGCAATTAGCCTTGAGATTTTCTTGAATTTTCACCAGTGACATGAGCATTAGAAAGGCGAAGATTATGCCGGTGGCGGATGTGTTAACCATAATAATAAGAGCGGCTCGATACGTACCGTGGTGACCGAAAGTGGAGTCCAAGTCGACCTTGAGCTCGTCCTTATCAAGAAGTTTATCGTGCCTCGGTGAATGGCCACCAGTCCCTGTGCCTTTCATACTTCTGAAGTATTGCGACCATCTTGTTCTGCCCGCGTCTTTCTTCAGTCTCTTTTCTTTCGCTCTCCTGCGGAAGGGAAAGGAACTTGCATTCGCAAACGAGAGCAGAGAGAAAAAAGAAAGAAACAAGGAGAAAGAAAAATCGAATTCCGTGGAAGATGGAGGATACTTTTCGTTCCTTTCGTTTCGAAGGTTCGTATTTATAGATCGATTCAGAAAAACGCCATGACGCCGGCGCGGCTAAATATAGCCGCGTGATAAACTATCGTATCCGTGCATCTCGATGAATCAACAACCTTCACTTGCTTGATGTTAGCTACTCTTTTATAACATAAGATTACTACACTTTCGTAAGAGCGAAACGTCGAAATCATCGGCTTTATCATCCGATCGTATCATTCCGACGCGATGTTTACGATGTGCAAATTCACAGGGAAAACTTCCACTTCAATTTCACCTTTGACGAGGAGAGCAGGAGAGAAAAATAAAAATGTTCCGCGCGTGTGCACTTTTTTACAATTTCTTTCCTTCTTTCCCTTTCTCAGCAGCTTTTTATCGACGATCAGCGATCGATGACACAGTGGATCGCGATAAACTTTTCTACTTGTCACAGTGTGTCCCGTTTTTCACACGCAGCCATAGGATTATGGGCTACGCAAACCAACAGAATCGATAAAGACGGTTTTTTTCTTTTTTTTTTTTTTTTCAGAGCAACATTGTAAACTGGTTACTATGCTCACGATGGAGATAACGGGGAAGTCGAATTGCGAAAAAGAATTTCACAGATAATGTGATAGCTGACAATGTTTGTTTGCCAGGTATCGTGAATAATATCGCTATTTTTCTTTTTTTTTTCTTTTTGAAAAATTAACTTTAAAGGAACTTGTGAAGATTTGAAAAAAAGTGTAATTCGTTCATGCATTGTTTTTTCTTTTTTTCGTACCATTATTTGAAGAAATCGCCAGTTTCCCCAGACGGTGTTACGCCAAACTTTATAATTTGAACATCGTATTAAAACTTTTGCAACCAGCTATTAATTCCCGATTGAACTGTATATTAAAACCAAAAAACAGTAGAATTATTAGAGTTTAATTTTTGGATTTACTTTGGCAAGTTATGAAAATCATATAGATCTATGTTATCTCGTTTATCTATTCGCGCAGCGTTGTAGGCAGCCTTTGAAACCGCGATAAAATCAGCTACGATCATGGACACAAATATTTCATTATTATATACACAGGTGGACAAAACTATCCGCGCGCTCGATGAAAACGATATATCAATCGAATTGGTCTCATTTTAAAGCGTAAAACCTCTGTTGCCTGGAACTTGAGTTTTCTTCCCATGTCATGCAACTGATCATCAAGAGCAAGGATAGACTCGTTGTCGAAAACTTGGCCTCCAAACTTTAAACGCCTCCGAAATTACTGAATGAAAAATTTTTTTTCATAGCTAGATCCATCCAAGAATCTCGAAATCTTCCCTTGAAACTTGCTGTACGTTTTTTCCTCTGCCCAATTTTATCGAACCTTGAACATCAAAGTTAAACGACAAAAATTCAAGAAATCTTGTTTTGCCATTTTTTTCCCCGCCATTTTATCCAACCTTAAACATCAGATTAAAAGAGATCTTAACATTTTGCCATTTAATCTTAATAAAGGCAAGAAAGAAATTGTACAGCAAGTTTTAAAAGATCGTTGGAAAGAGAAAACCTCGGTCTTCAAGACAACGATAGATTTAGTCGTCTTTTAACATTCTCAGAGGCACTTGAATTTTTACAATTTTCCAGAACAAAAGTATCATCCTTACTTCCATGATTGGAAAATTAGGGCTGTCGAAGCGGAATTAGGGCTTCATGCTTTAAAATCAGGCCAACTTGATTGTTTTTTTTTTT